TAAAGTGTGGTATTATTTCAGACCTCAAAATTTCTGCATTAGATGTAAAACACCAACCTGTAAATATAGGATACTTGAGTGTAACACTCCATATTATAAATAATGGTTGTTTCATCAGGCCCTGGAACACTCAGACAATTTAATACAATTGCGATTTCCGATCTTGGAGACACAGAAGGATTCGGTGAACCCGGTACTGATGGTAAGTTATATGCTTTACACTTACAAGATAATGTATACAAGCGGAAAGAAGTTACATTCAGAGGTAATCTAGGAGATGTAAGCGATGTCGATGTTGGCAGACTCCATAAAAACACTTCGTATAATCTTACTCGCAACGATGATAATAAATGGAATATGATCGAAGCAAACATTGAGTAGCTATTGAATATCGTCATTACCCCACCGTATGTGATGATGGGTAAGGCACATAATTTAACTAAGATAATAAATAGTGGCATCGTAGTCAGGGCTTATATCCAATCAAAACGAAAAAGTGTGTTAGTCTCTCCCCAGCCAGAAAACCCATGTCATATGTTATTTAGTTGTTCGGTATAAAAAAATGTTAGTTTAAATTTGGTTACTGAATTCAATGATATTAAAGATAACTTGAGTGCAATACCTAATCTTTCTTTCTTATTAGTGAAGTCTTGTTCGGAGATGCACCGCAAGATGCCTTCGAAATATTTCCAGGTCTTTCGATTAAATGGCTAAAGAAACACCAACGTCAACAGTGCAGTATTATTCATATTGGAGCATCACCCGTTGCAACCCTTGAGGGGATCCAAATTATTAAAAGTGACAGAATTTCTCTTACTAAGATATTCATACCGTATAATATACATTTAATAAGGTTGATGTATACTCTCAAAACAAGACTAATTAAAGACTTTTATAATACATAATTATCAAATGGATTTATATCCGGCGCTCAATGAAGTTGATATATTTCGATTACATCAAATAAGCGACATAAAACACCAAATAAAGAAGGAGAGGGAGTTGAGACTTGGATTGTATAAAAAGTATCGCAGAGCCGTGAATGCTCTTGACGGAGTTGACACCGCGCTTGTAACGGCTAGCATGGGACTCGGTCTAGCTGGTATTGGTTTATTATCAACTATAATCACCGCGCCTATCGTACCTGGCATGCAAATAGCTGCCGGAGTCTCAGGACTGGCAGAAATAGCAATAAAATTCATTTCTCGTAAGTTGCAAAAGAAAGCATTAAAACACGAAAATATTCTGATACTCGCGGAAGCAAAGTTGAACAGCATTGAGGATCATATTTCAACAGCAATGGCTGATTGTAAGATATCCGAGGAGGAGTTTCGTTTAGTGTTGTCAGAACTCACCAAATACACATTGTGTTAAATGAAGTGTTGCGTTACCTTCGTGCCAGATACCGATTCAATGTTTTACCGTCAAATCTAAATGTGCTTATCTCGACATCAGCAACACTTTGTTGCCTTTAACTTCACTTACCACGTCCGTACAAAAACCATTATACCTATTCTTCACGTCTATTGACGTTTGATAAAGCTTTGTGTGTTCAGTGTAGTGCCTTGCGTATGTGTGTACATTTTGCATGTCCGACCTGTTACCGACCTGTCCTTACTGTTACCGCCCTGTCCTTACTGTTTCCGACATGTCCTTACTGTTACCGACCTGTCCTTACTGTAAACGACATGTCCTTACTGTTACCGACCTGTCTATTGTTACCGTCCTGTCTTTACTGTTACCGACCTGTCCTTACAGCCACCGACTTTTCCTCACTGTTACCGACATGTCCTTACTATTACCGTCCTGTCCTTACTGTTACCGACCTGTCCAAACTGTTACCGACCTGTCCTTACTGTTACCGACATGTCCTTACTGTTACCGACCTGTCCTAACTGTTACGGACCTGCCCTTACTGTTACCGACCTCTCCTTACTGTTGCCGACATGTCCTTACTGTTACCAACCTGTCCTGACTGTTACAGATATGTCCTAACTGTTGCCGCTCTGTCCTTATTGTTGCAGGTCTGTCCTTACTGTTACAGACCTGTCCCAGTGTTGCCGACCTTTCCTGAGGGCGAATGCCCAATTTAATTATTGATGGCCCCAACGTTACTGTAACACTATCAAAACCAGGAATAGTACATGCAAGTTGATAAATACAAACACATCGAAGCCAGAGAATAACCAGTCTCAGATATCCGACGAAACAGATTTCGTTGCGCGTAAAAACAACAACATTTCTTTTACATATCAGTCCTCTGATGTGTTGCTTTTTTTCAACTGCTCCCCCCCCCCCCCCCCCCCCCCCCCCCACACTTTTTGCGAGTTAACCTATATCCTGTAATAGATCTAAAGCTTCCAGTGAGCTTTGTGTTGACACCGAGCCGAACATATTGTGTTCAATAAAGGGATGTGTTGCCTTCGTGCCAGATACTGATTCAAATCTACAGTTACATAGCTCGACATTGAAAACACTTTGATGTCTTTATCGGGTTATATGATAGTTCCGGAATACCGTGGACTGTGATATTGGGTGATAGAAACATGTGGAATAGTCTTTGTTGTGACAGCACTTTGTGAAAATATCTAGTACCTGGTTAAACTATATAATGGGAAATGAGCTTGCCTCTCTCATTTTACAACATCAAGACCAGCTTTCATGGGAAAATCACTAATCAACCCAGATTCCCTGCCTAGGCCTTTCTCGGAAGCTTGACAACTGTTGCCGCTGGGTAACAATACTTTATCACTGACTTTTGCTGGCACAACTGTATTTTATCATCATATACTGAGTACTGCCACTGTCCTTGAACATTGTACCACCACTGTAATGTGTACAGCCATTGAAATTGCTGTGCTGTGCTGGTTAATGTTGTGATAAATTTGTATACCACTTGTTGGTTGTTTGTTGGTTTCACTCTAAGTTCTTTTACATACAGATTTCTGGGTTAACAATTTGGGAATCGACACGTAAGTGTACGTTCATTGTGTGTGTGTGTGTGTGTGTCCGTGTGTCCGTGTCGACACGTAAGCGTACGTTCATTGTGTAAGTGTATGTTCGTTGTTATGTGTGTAGGCTTGTTGTGTGTATGTGTCTGTACGTTCAGTGTGTGTGTGTGTGTGTGTGTGTGTGTGTCCGTGTCGACACGTAAGCGTACGTTCATTGTGTAAGTGTACCTTCGTTGTTATGTGTGTACGTTCTTTTTGTGTATGTGTCTGTACGTTCATTGTGTGTGTGTGTGTGTGTGTGTGTGTGTGTGTGTGTGTGTGTGTGTGTGTGTGTGTGTGTGTGTGTGTGTGTCCGTGTGGACACATAAGTGTACGTTCATTTTGTCAGTGTACGTTCGTTGTTATGTGTGTACGTTCGTTGTGTATGTGTGTGAACGTTTATTGTGTATGTGTGAACGTTCGTTGTGTAAGTGTACCTTCGTTGTATATGTGTGTACGTTCACTGTGTGTATGTGTCTGTACGTTCATTGTGTGTGTGTGTGTGTCCATGTGTCCGTGTCGACACGTAAGCATACGTTCATTGTGTAAGTGTACGTTCGTTGTTATGTGTGTACGTTCGTTGTGTGTATGCGTCTGTACGTTCATTGTGTGTGTGTGTGTGTCCGTGTGTCCGTGTCGACACGTAAGCGTACGTTCATTGTGTAAGTGTACGTTCGTTGTTATGTGTGTACGTTCGTTGTGTATGTGTGTGAACGTTCATTGTGTATGTGTGAACGTTCGTTGTGTAAGTGTACCTTAGTTGTATATGTGTGTACGTTCGTTGTGTGTATGTGTCTGTACGTTCATTGTGTGTGTGTGTGTGTGTCCGTGTGTCCGTGTCGACACGTAAGCGTACGTTCATTGTGTAAGTGTACGTTCGTTGTTATGTGTGTACGTTCGTTGTGTATGTGTGTGAACGTTCATTGTGTATGTGTGAACGTTCGTTGTGTAAGTGTACCTTAGTTGTATATGGTTGTACGTTCACTGTGTGTATGTGTCTGTACGTTCATTGTGTGTGTGTGTGTCCATGTGTCCGTGTCGACACATAAGCGTACGTTCATCGTGTAAGTGTACGTTCGTTGTAATGTGTGTACGTTCGTTGTGTACAATATTTCTGTTGAGATTCGGTAGACACTCATTGCATTGTGTTTTGGCAGTGATTAGTCTTCAGGAATGCAGTGTCATTTTATCTAAGCAGTCGTCAGGAACTTACTATATTTAGATACTAGTGTTGTGTGTAAACTTCCGGTATACTATAGACTGGTATGGAATATTCCATTTATAGTGTTTTATAGTGTACCCGCGTGTCTGTATCGTTTCCTTGCACCCACACGGGTGACACACTGTCTACACTATTACCTCCGGGCGGACGCTCTACTACTAGACACGGAGGCGGTCCTCAAAGGTAGAGAAGACATGAGCGTATACATACTAAAACTGCTCCACAGGAACATCTTTTGTAGCTGGTCGGCAACAATAGATGCAAATAATATCACCATTAGATGAGAAGGTCTGTTCAAAACTACCTTAGTAAGTCTGTCACAGTGACCGCTCGTGGTAATACCTTTGATAATAATATGTTCTTTTATAATGCGCCAGATTCCTTTCATAAATTAAATGCTCATTACGCTACATACGCTGAAGCAGGTCATGCTGCAGCAAGGATAAAGTCGTGGCTGGGGGCGAAGGGTGTTGAATTTAGACTGAGTCGTACTGCTTGAAAAGGTAGGTCTTCAGTCGTGCCTTGCATGAAGGGAGTGATGGCGAGAGCTTAAGTTCTGTTGGTCGATTGTTCCAAAGATTGAAGCACAGGATTCGAAAGATCTGTGACCAAAAGCTTTCAAGCGGTTATCTGGAACTTGCAGCAAGTGTTCACTTCCAGAACGGATGTCATGACCTGTTAGTTGTATGTGTACATCTTACCTAATCCTATATTGATTCATATATCAACAGTCCTACCATGTTGTGCAAGTATGTTAGAAGTCACATTGACGTTTACCTTTGTTACAGGATAAATGTCATCACGAACGTCCTGTCACGCCGGGTGACATACTCTACGTCGTGCGGGTGGTGGGGTCGATGCACCAGACACAGGTAATAGCCAGCTGTCATACAAGTATTGATCAGATGTAATACATGTATTCACTGCTTAACATATATTTTCATATATGTATTGCCTAACTGCCATGCAGGTAGTCAGCAGTTGTTATATAGGTATCGATCAACTGCCCTACAGATAATCACTAACTAACAGGTAATGGCGAACTGCCATACATGTAAATCAATAACTGTCAAACAGATATTCACTAACTGTCATACAGGCAAACACTAATTGTCATACAGGCAAACACTAATTGTCATACATGTAAATCAATAAATGTCATACAGATATCCACTAAATGACATACAGGCAAACACTAATTGTCATACAGGCAAACACTAATTGTCATACAGGCAAACACTAACTGTCATACAGGCAAACACTAATTGCCATACAGGCAAACACTAACTGTCATACAGGCAAACACTAATTGTCATACAGGTAATCACTAACTAACAGGTAATGGCGAACTGCCATACATGTAAATCAATAACTGTCATACAGATAGCCACTGACTGTCATACAGGTAATCACTAACTGTCATACAGGTATCCACTGACTCTCATACAAATCATCACTTGTCATACAGGTAATCATCAGGTAATCACAATCTACCATACAAGTAATCACTTATTTTCATTCAGGGAAACACTAACTGTCATACAGGTAATCACTAACTGTCATACAGGCAAACACTAACTATTATACAGGCAAACACTACTTGTCATACAGGTAATCACTAACTAACAGGTAATGGTGAACTGCCATACATGTAAATCAATAACTGTCAAACATATATTTACCAACTGTCATACAGGCAAAAACCCTTAATGTCATACAGATAGCCACTAACTGTCATACAGGTAATCACTAACTGTCATACAGGTAATGACCAATGGTCATACAGATAATCCCCAACCGTTATACAGATAAATCACTAACTGCAATACAGATATTCACTGACGCTCATACAAATCATCACTTGTCATACAGGTAATCATCAGGTTATCACAATCTACCATACAGGCCAACACTAACTGTCATACAGGCAAACACTAACTATCAATCAGGTAATCACAATCTACCATACAGGCCAACACTAGCTGCCTTACAGGTAATCACAATCTACCATACAGGCCAACACTAACTGTCATTCAAGTAATCACAATCTACAATACAGGCCAACACTAACTGCCTTACAGGTTATCACAATCTACCATACAGGCCAACACTAACTGTCATACAGGTAAACACTAACTATCATACAGGTAATCCCAATCTACCATACAGGCCAACACTAACTATCATACAGGTAATCCCAATCTACCATACAGGCCAACACTAACTGTCATTCAGGTAATCAAAATCTACCATACAGGCCAACACTAACTGCCTTACAGGTAATCACAATCTACCATACAGGCCAACACTAACTGCCTTACAGGTAATCACAATCTACCATACAGGCCAACACTAACTGCCTTACAGGTAATCACAATCTACCATACAGGCCAACACTAACTGGCATACAGGTAAACACTAACTATCATACAGGTAATCACAATCTACCATGCAGGCCAACACTAACTGCCTGACAGGTAATCACAATCTACCATACAGGCCAACCTTAGCTGCCTTACAGGTTATCACAATCTACTTTACAGGCCAACACTAACTATCATACAGGTAATCACATCTACCATACAGGCAAACACTAACTGCCTTACAGGTAATCACAAACTACCATACAGCCAAACACTAACTGCCTTACAGGTAATCACAATCTACCATACAGCCAAACACTAACTATCATACAGGTAATCACAATCTACCATACAGCCAAACACTAACTATCATACAAGTAGTCACATCTACCATACAGCCAAACACTACCTATCATACAGGTAATCACAATCTACCATACAGCCAAACATTAACTATCATACAGGTAATCACAATCTACCATACAGCCAAACACTAACTATCATAAAGGTAATCACAATCTACCATACAGCCAAACACTAACTATCATACAGGTAATCACAATCTACCATACAGCCAAACACTAACTATCATACAGGTAGTCACATCTACCATACAGCCAAACACTAAATATCATATAGGTAATCACAATCTACCATACAGCCAAACACTAACTATCATACAGGTAATCACAATCTACTATACAGCCAAACACTAACTATCATACAGGTAGTCACAATCTACCATACAGGCCAACACTTACTGCCTTACAGGTAATCACAATCTACCATACAGCCAAACACTAAGTATCATACAGGTAATCACAATCTACCATACAGCCAAACACTAACTGTCATACAGGTAAACACTAACTATCATACAGGTAATCCCAATCTACCATACAGGCCAACACTAACTATCATACAGGTAATCCCAATCTACCATACAGGCCAACACTAACTGTCATTCAGGTAATCAAAATCTACCATACAGGCCAACACTAACTGCCTTACAGGTAATCACAATCTACCATACAGGCCAACACTAACTGCCTTACAGGTAATCACAATCTACCATACAGGCCAACACTAACTGCCTTACAGGTAATCACAATCTACCATACAGGCCAACACTAACTGGCATACAGGTAAACACTAACTATCATACAGGTAATCACAATCTACCATGCAGGCCAACACTAACTGCCTGACAGGTAATCACAATCTACCATACAGGCCAACCTTAGCTGCCTTACAGGTTATCACAATCTACTTTACAGGCCAACACTAACTATCATACAGGTAATCACATCTACCATACAGGCAAACACTAACTGCCTTACAGGTAATCACAAACTACCATACAGCCAAACACTAACTGCCTTACAGGTAATCACAATCTACCATACAGCCAAACACTAACTATCATACAGGTAATCACAATCTACCATACAGCCAAACACTAACTATCATACAAGTAGTCACATCTACCATACAGCCAAACACTACCTATCATACAGGTAATCACAATCTACCATACAGCCAAACATTAACTATCATACAGGTAATCACAATCTACCATACAGCCAAACACTAACTATCATAAAGGTAATCACAATCTACCATACAGCCAAACACTAACTATCATACAGGTAATCACAATCTACCATACAGCCAAACACTAACTATCATACAGGTAGTCACATCTACCATACAGCCAAACACTAAATATCATATAGGTAATCACAATCTACCATACAGCCAAACACTAACTATCATACAGGTAATCACAATCTACTATACAGCCAAACACTAACTATCATACAGGTAGTCACAATCTACCATACAGGCCAACACTTACTGCCTTACAGGTAATCACAATCTACCATACAGGCCAACACTAGCTGCCTTACAGGTAATACAGGTAAAAATATGTATATATATATCTATATATGTTGTGGTAAGCAATATATTTACATTAACAACAACAGGTAATGGATTACAAGAAGCACACAGATAATTGGATGAAGCCAGATGTACAATCAAATAACAGACAGGCAATAAAGACAGGTGTGCAGTGAGGATTAAAATGTTGTAACAGGCTAAGAGAGAGTATATATGGATGTCAATTTTTATTCCGAGAAACACAACGTTTCTGGGTAAGAAACTACAAGTGGCCATTGGAATCATAAGATATCAGCCAGCTTTGAACCGTGACCAGGGAACGTATCTGCCTTGTGCTTGACTTATTGATTAATTAATCTGTGCCGTTGCATTATGCCCCTATGAAGACTAATTACTCCTGCTGGCTGCCATTTGTCCAGGCATAATACACCCCTGCCCTCCATTTGTCTATTGCTCATTACCAAGCAGTGCTAATTTAAATCCTTGGTTCCATCTGTTCATTGCTAAAGACCAATCAGCCGCTAATCAATTGTTGGCTTCCCTTGTTACGTTTCCACCATTATTATCTATTTATTTGTGTTGCTTTTTACATGTGCATATATATGCTCTCTGCATCCTAGCATTCATGCGATTGGTTACTCATTATAAAGAGTATATTACTTGATTAGATCTTCATAGGCAGACTGGATGTAACACCCTTGATCTCTGTTGATAAAACGTTGATGACGGTGGATATTTATGTTTTATGAGAGTTTTTTGTGAAGACCTGATGTTTGGTAGAGAGGGTTTGAACTTTGTCAAACTGATGGCTGGAAAACTTTTGCCGGGGTTCTGAGAGGGCTTATTTGCTTTTGAAGTTTAAGGTTCTTTGATGCGGGTAACTACATAGCCACAATAAATCTTACAGATGACTTCGTGTTGGTGGAAGGGTTAATGCCATTGGCGTGGATGATTCTACATAGGGATGGGGAGCTAGTGAAGATGGTATCGATGACTGCCCGGTGCTTAAGTAATCTGCTAATTTGATGTTAAGTCTTGCCAATGTAGTGTAGAGTGATTCTGATTGGGACGGATTTTGGTCTGGATTGTTTGGATTTGGGCTGGAGTGCAGTGGAGATGGTCCTCATGACAAGTTTGGTAGGATACTGGTTAAGGTTTGTTAAGACATGCTCCCGATGATTAGGCTCATGGTTAAGGTCAAAGTTGCAGGAGCAGATGTGTTCTTCTCTCTTGGTCAGTGTGAAGTTGATGCCGGACTTCGTTTTGGGATTGGTGAGAGTTGAAATGAATTTCCTGGTCAGAATTAGTAGACGTCCTGTGTGGTTGTGATCTTGTTACTGGGGTCTGTCGATTCAAGAACGTCAAGGGAGGGGAGTTGTTGCTTGTTCTCTGTCTCCATGGTGAATTAACTCCGGGGTGTTGAGGTGCTTGGGAGGTGAGGTGGGATCATGTCCTTTTGAACATGACAACTAACGTGTGCAAGCAAACGGGTTGGATGTGGAGAGGGTTTTTTCTATGTCTCTGTATTGGATCCATGTCTCTGTGTACGGGTAGTGTAGGTTCTACATACATGGGATCTATCTCTCTGTGTACAGGTAGTGCAGGTTGTAAATACATGGGATCTACCTCTCTGTGCACTGGTAGTGTAGGTTGTACATACATGTAATCTGTCTCTCTGTGTACAGGTGGCCAGTGTAGGTTCTACATACATGGGATCTATCTTTCTGTGAACAGGTAGCCAGTGTAGGTTCTACATACATGAGATCTATCTCTCTGTGTACAGGTAGTGTAGTGTGTACATACATGGGACCTATCTCTCTGTGTACAGATAGTGTAGGTTGTACATACATGGCATCTATCTCTCTGTGTACAGATAGTGTATGTTGTACATACATGGAATCTATCTCTCTGTGTACAGATAGTATAGGTTGTACATACATGGGATCTATTTCTCTGTGTACAGTTAGCCAGTGTAGGTTCTACATACATATGATTTGTCTCTGTGTGATCAGTTAGTGTAGGTTCTACACACATGGGATCTATCTCTCCAACAGGACAGTATACTACAAGCAGCATGTGTGCAACTCTGGATACAGATCTACCGATAACCATGGCTGTCCGCACGGTAAAACTACCTTTACGAAAAAATTGTATACTTTTAATCACAAATATATTTAAGGGACTAATCAGTACATTGATATGAATATGTAAGCTGAAAAAGGCTCTGTCATTGATAGACATGTAGTTTATTAACTTCATCAATACATCCGTAGCCATCTGCGACAACGTCATTAACCCAAACGGCGCCTGCAACATTGACTATCCTACGTCCCACATCATCTACAGCAATGGCTTGACCCAATACAGTAGCGGGGGCACCTGCAGCCTCCCCGAGATATGCACTAACTGCAAGATGGGCTTCTATGCCAGCCTAAACAGATGCCGGAGTAAGTGGTTAACTGTCAACTTATCTAATATGCACACGTATTCCTCAGTGACCGAGTGCTCACAGATCCACATACAGTCGGCTTAAATAACAACGATAGTGGGTTGATTTGTAGAAATACATTTTGTTTCATTTTCCTGAAGAGAGGCTTGGCAAATTGGCATCTCTGACTGGTTCATGCAAATAAATCATTAATAAAGTGCTGACATGTTTCAATAATCATGATACATATATCACAACTGGGTATCTTAATTACGTTGACAAAGTCTGAAATTCCTTCTGGTCACTTGGTTACCTGCAGTTCTCAGGTCGGTAGTGTTTGTATGCCCTGTTTTCTGCGGACAGTGTGCTCGGCCATCTCCAACTGTGACCTGGAGGAATGTACGTCGCCCTCTGACCAGGTGTGTTCCCGTTGTGAAGGGGTGTACAGGGATCGGCCTGGGGAACGAGCGTACGCCGACACCACAGACAAGAAATCCTGTATCCGTAAGTATCGGGAATTGTGGACACCCACTCACCATCTTTAATATACTTGTTATTTAATACAATGCTGCATACCTCCATTTGGACGAGGTATTACAAAGGCCTTCTTTGCTCAAAGGATCTGCATAATTGATGACAATAACAACCTATTCAGAAATCAAATGTAGAAATTGTTGTAACAGTTGTTCATATGAATGAGTTTGAATATATGCATGTTTTGACTTGTGACAACATTTAATGTTTCAAACAGACTGGTTTAAGAGGTTTTTATTAAGTGTGTTTGAAGATTTGTTGTCCCTGTTTAAGAAACCACTGGTAAGAACAAGACTTTACTCTGTGTCATTGAAAGACATGTAACAACTGGCGCCGGTGGAGTAGGGTATAAACAGTAATAGGCAAAAGTATCGAACAGAGAGTATAGTACTTGATATTGCCTTGAAACATTTGGTTAAAGCAAAATCAGGTCCGTGCGTGTATTAACAACTTTGAGCTGAAGACATGTCCAGTTCTCTTTTGTACTACATTCCAAAGCTCCATAAATTTCCGTACAACGAAAAATATACACCTCATCAAAAGTATCTCACCAACAAAATTTGTTGAAAATCAGAAAAGAAAAGTGTAAAGAGAAGCTTGAAAGCAAAACAAAAGTGTTACTTAACGTCACAGAAGATGTTAATTCATGAATGAAAGGAAAAATGAGCATTTGCACAGAAAAGAAACAACATTATTCGCCAGCGACTACAAGGCCTGTAACTGTGTAAATATGATAACTGTCAGGAATGAGATAGACAGATCAAAATGTACATGTCTCAGGAACGTTTTACCCATGTCACAGTTAGATGATCAATAGTGTAAGCCCCATGCACGGATCACATCCACAAGACGCCTCCTCATCCCCAACTGAGGTATGTGTTGCCATTCCTGATGCAATTTAGGGCATCGTTGTCCACAGAGATAGGACGAGTTGCAAGTACATGGTTATCAAAATAAGGCATAACAAAACCGTTCAATATGGTATCTTGTAACCTTTGTCCATTTAGAGCCCCCTGAACTGTCACAAAATCAAATTTACAGTCAAAGAAGCAGCATGCCTATACCATCCCGATCCTCCACCTGAGGCCTCTGTTTCCTGGATGTTTTGCTGATGATAAGATGTTCCTCTTTGCCTCCACACAAGTCCTACCACCAGCGTAGACCTTCTCTCGTAAGTCCAATGAATCCCCCTCCATGACCTCAAGATCCAGTGTGCTCGATTCTGACACCAGGCTACAGAGCCCAGCATATAATGGGGTGAGAGCAGGGGACGTCTTATTGGTGTTGTGGCCCTTAATCCTGCTGCATTCAGTCGACTCCTGATGGTGCTAGTAGGGATGCTCTGTTGTTGGTATGTCAGTGATGATGAAGAACAGTGCAAGTTTTGCCTGGCCTACAAGGACTGTGTCCTCTCTGTCACTGGTCTTCGTGGACGTCCTGATCTCGGCATGTCCCTCACATGTCAAGGCAAAGTGTGTTTTCTGATCAGTCTACAGATTACAGCATGATTAATGTTCGACACAGCAACAATATCCCGACATGTCATGCCAGTTCGGTGCATGCCAATGATTTGCCATCTTTGATTGTCTAGGACATTTCAGTTACAATCGTAATAATAGTTAGGAATAATAGTAATAGCATGAACTTTCCGTCATCAAACATGAATTTCTCTATTTAGACCCCTTAGCTGTGCATACGGTTCACATTAACGCACCCACAAGGTGGGGCAGTTAAGGTGTTTACCATTCTACAAGCAGATGATGTGACAACACACAGGGTGCAATTTGAACATCTCTACATTGAAAATAAACTCGCAATAATACTTCCAATTTGGTGGTGCAATAATTTTGATGAGGTGAATATATTGCAGGGCTCAGCAAATGTACCACCAAAGATGGTCCCTATCTCAGAGATTGACCATAATCCTTAACACAGTTAATATAGTACCAGAGAGAGGACGTGGTGATGAAGGGGATTCACAAAAGTCAAAGCTTTAGCATGAATCTGTGCAATTCTCTAAGAAGTTTTGATTTTTCAACTTCATACCACACTATTCCACTTGTCTCAGATATAAAGACGGTCCTCCCTCGATTGTATTAAGAATTATGGTTTATCACTGAGACAGGAGTTTCATGGTACATTGGCTGGACCAATAAACAAATGCTCAGGGAATAGGCTTATTCGTCAGGCTCTTACCTTTCTTGCGATTACGGAAAGTGTTTGTTACCGTTATCAAACATTTAACGATGATCATGTATTTGAGTCATGCTGATTGTCACTGGACACGTCCGTAAAAAGTAATCCTTGATCAGTGACTCGAAATACGAAAAATGAGCCATCTCTCTCATTTTAGCCATACCTACTTTTACATGTCAGAATTATAAGTATGGCAAATGTAAGGAAGAAGAAAGCCCAAATGCCAGCCAATCGAACATGCCTGATTTATTTTGAGACCAACATTTCAAAATGTTTTCATAACCTTTAAATTTGACTTAATACCTCGTCCATTTTTTTTAATAATAACCGGATTAATGTTTTAGCTTTTCTGCCTTAACTGACTGGTGCGGATATATTTTATGACAAAAGTAGTGAGGTTCCAGGGTAAAAGTTATTTGGCGATTTTGAAAATTTAATCACATATATAATCTATTTCAGTTTACAGTTGTAATGGTGCCTGTAGTTATATAAAATGCGACCTAATTCGCCTGTATGACTGACACACGTATGCTGTGTGTTTTTCAGAGGCATGTTCGTGGCGCAGTGACAGTACACGGTGCTACCCGGGAGTATGTGCAGAGGAATATGCAAGGAATTGTATCTGTACAACAGAGTTTAGCGGAAGACACTGCGAGAAAAGTAGGAACAAAATACACATACACACCAATGTTACACTCTAGATCTGAGAGGAAAATAATAACACAAATGTTAATTATAAAAGTATTACAATAGTTTCCAATCAATGGTTTTCTTCTTATCCTGAAAACATTAAATATGTCAATTACGTCCTGCAGACAGTATGGTGAAAGGTTTCCACTCAACCATCTCTATATCCTTGCTGCCTGGGTCAGAGTAGGACGCCAGTGCCCCAATCTTGTTGATCAGTGAGCAACTGGGTGACTTGGCTGATTGCAGGAACTCGTACGCCAGTGGCGTGGATAGTAACTGTTGGTGATGTCACGGGTTTGCCGGGTCCAGGCCGTTGATATATCTATTTCTGCCTGCTGTTTAAACAACATTCACTAATCCACTCTTATCTATAAATACTCTTAGGTTTGCTGCAGAATGTGATCCGGTTCAACATTGTTTTGTTTCTGAAATTACGTCACCACCTCCATCGCTCCTATCTGTAGCTCAGCACAGACTTTCTGTTGCTCATGAGAGGCTTTTTTGGTGTGTGTTATTCATAAAGGGTTTAAAATAAAGATATGGTTTCGAATGGGTGTAGAAAAACGTCAGAGAATAACCAATTGCTTATCCGTCGAAATAGATTCTTTGGGGCTTTTTTTTAACTGTGCCTTCCTGTCATCGGGAAACTGATGAATCTGGCGGTTACAGACCATGTCATCTGAAACATCCGCCTTCCACCTGATATATTTGTAACGGCTCGTTACAGTCTGACAGTTGCAGTTTTCTTTACCGCTTGCCTTGATTGACAGGTCCTATCAACTTTGTTAGATGCTACTCTTCGTTCATTGGCAGCTGACTTTGTGGGAGAAAGAAATGGATGTCTGATACACTGCATCATCAAAGATGTATTCACTCTCACGTTGTGTTTCCAGTCGACACGTTCCCATCTATTTTGTACAACACACTGAAGGTGACCGGCCCGGGCCTGGACAAGGTGGAAGCCCCAGACAATCCCAATGAAGGAGCTCCCCAAGACAAGTCCTGGACCAACATCAACGACACAAGGATGATCTACTACAAATTCGAGACCAAGTTCATCATGACTGCGACTCCACCGCCCAGACAGGCCTATGTTGAGGGCTTTGCTGTTGGCATCATCAACGCCAAAGCAACATTTGAAGTTAAAAGAAGTATGAACTCTGTGTTCTGTGAAAGTGTATTCCTTCATGATCATTGAATAATTTTATGCCCGATGTCAATGCTATTTTGACTGTATCACTTGAGAGTGATTCAAAAACACATTCTCATGATGTTTGCATGTGTTTTCTACTGGTGTCACCAATGTGACCGGATACGCTCAATGTTTCCAAAGCACTTGGTATCATCATCATTTGAGAGTGATTCAAAAACACTTTCTAATGATACAGAGGGAATTGTACCATTGACTCTTATACTTCTTATGGTTATTTAAAGGGGTTTGTGGCTTCCATTGATATCATAAATTATCCATTGTTAGTTGCTATTTGCTAAATATGTTCACTTTGGTTTTATTCACCTTTGGTCCTTTCAAAAACTATGTTTTAAGTTGTAAGTATGTTTCAGACGACTGTGTCATAATGAGCACTGTACGACCTTGCAATGGCCCCAGTAAGACGGCACCTCATCAAACTAAGTTGACCTGTGAGGAGGACGTGACTGCAGATACCTTTCTCTCCCATCATGTGGAGAATGGAGATATGTGAGTCACGTGGCATGAGAGGCCTTGAACAACCAACGTATTGTTACAATAATCAAGCTCAACTCATCGAATACCCATTGAGTAAATTTCCAATGACAAATATAATAGCCGGTTACATATTATGCAAGCTAACTGAACTTCTCTGATTATCCGTGTTTTCCTCAGAATGGAATTCACATTTGAGGCAACTAATGGTGGCTACGTTAAAGTGAGGAACAAGGAGAGCGGCAGTCTCGTGACTTACTACTACGAAGGGAAGACACAAATCAATCGTTATAGCCTCGGGTTTGACTTCATAGACCCACATCACTGCAGTGCAGATCTGGAGGAGAAATGCACAGATGACATGATATCACTGGCCAAGACCCACACACAGGTCAGTTGTGAACGATTATTATGCTTAACAATGAGTTCAACAATGAGTCCACTTTCTGAATCACTGTACATGTAAACCAAATAGGGATAGATGATTGATTATAGTTGCTTTATTAAATAGTTTTATATGTTGCGAACCTGAGGAATTAAAACTTTGTAATTGTAAAATGCGAGAATAGTACTCTCGTTATTATTCTAGTTTTGTAAGACTGTAGAAACATATATATGTTATTTGACAGTCGACTAGATATCTATTGTAGGAATGACCTCATAGAAACCTTCTGTGAGGTCAAAGACTGTTGCTGAATATTGTAGTTATTATCTAGTCTGTCAAAAGTATATGGCGTAACATGGTTATAGATGTATGTACTCTTGGTCTCCAGGGTTATGGACACAATGAATACAGGAACAAAATCTGCACTGGATGCTGCTTGACTCGCCATTAATCGGCCTGATTGTTACATGATGTTTACTTGTCAGTGATGTCCATGTGTTGATGAGTGTCATATACTCATGTAATGTATCCGTCTGTCTCCAGGCTCCGATCTGTATCACGTGGCAGGGATGGAGGGACGACGTCCTGGTGTTCTCCTACTTGGTGTCGATATTTGAACTTTATGACCAACATCCCAACAGAAGTGACTCTCAACTCGTGGAGAAATCACTAGCCTTTGAATCTGACAGATACAGCGGCGAGGTATGCTATTGTGACAGATAATATGCCTTCACTCGGTCACAGAGAGTTGCGTCCCTCACAGGTGTCATGACCATTGAGTCGCTGATTGGAAGCGCAGATTCGCAACGAATTTGATCCTTGGTCTCGACACCTCGTCCAGGCTCGTGGGTTTTAAGACCCGTGTTCCCATCTGCTTTGCTCCCACATTTAGCTGGCAAGCTGTGATATCTGGTCATGGTGGACTTTGCGTTATCATGCTACAAACATAACCGATGTTGTTACATGTCACCTCGCCAATCCAAATGTATGATCAACAAGTATACTAGGGGGAATTACACACATGCATGAAACAGTTAATATATCATGATCATTATGTGTGATTGTTTATTGTCAAGACAATATATTTTTGTCATCTGATCTTTCACATCTAAATAATACATCATTCATCCTTGGTTTGCAGATATCCTCGAGTCAGTTTCATCTGTCACACCCCGGGGTGTATGCCCTTGTTTTAACCGCTTACGACAAGGCCGAAAACAGCAAGAGTGCTCAGCGAATATTCATCTATGACGAGGTGTCAAAAGTGGGCGTGGTCCATGACACGAGGCTGCTAGTGACGTCATCGGCTTCTAGAACAACCCACCGCTGGCAGAGGAATACGACGGAAGTGTCTGTCGACTGGGAGAAGAGGTAAGGAAGCATGCATCCACCAACTCGTGCCATCTGCATCACTGTAGTGTTTCTCTTGGTGACTTTGTCTCTCAAGGCATGTGACTGTTCAAAATTGGTGCCTGCTCACCAAACCACGAAGAGGTACCCAGTCGGATAAGAAATGCCTGACAGGCAGCTTTGGTTGAATATTCCCCAGGTCGTTGAGGACGTAATTAAAGTGCTCAGTGATCCATTGACAGGGACATAATCGCTTCTAGAATATTTTAGGAAATGAGTGAGTAAATTGGGTTTTACTCAGCCATCAACATTCCAACAATATCACGGCGGAGGACACAAAAAATAAGCGCAACACATTGTACCCATGTGGGTCAAACACTTTAACAACTTATCCTTACCACATCGAAAAAACGCAATATAACTTAACTTCACATAAATTTGTCAAATGCTCAAACAAAATGTAAATGTTTTTGTGACAGCATTTACGTATATTTGTATTTTAAGTGCATAACAATATAACATCCCTATACACTGTACAGGTACATCAACCCCCTCCATTACAACAAGGGGTGGCTGAAGCAAGCGGCCTCCACGCATGACGTTACCCAGGACTACGACGATAACAACCACTCCAGGGGAATAGACGCCATTGATCACGTGCAGGGTGAGGAAGTGCTTGTGTTTCTTATGCTTCATTTCCCCAATACCTGCCTATTATGGATGAACAATGAGTCGAAATATCACAATTCCCTCAAGGTTGATAGTTGTATAGTGAAGGCTTCGAGAAAGAGGATACCCGTGCCGTCAGGGTACCATCAGTGGTTGATATCATGAGCAGTAACAAATGCCATCGGGCAGACAATCAGTGGTTGGTTGACTATCAGTAGAATGTTGTATTCACTGTATGCGGTCAGCAAGTTTACAAACATTGCTACCAGACCCGATAGTTTTTCCCTATCCATGTTATAAGACATCTATGGATGTCTTGAATCAAAGCAGATTCTTTTTAACCAGTTGATCAAATGTTTCCATTAAATTCAACATTACATTTGTGATAAGAGGAAGCCCCTTCTATCCCGTTCCCGCTCCAGGATCTTGGCTCATGTGTTGATGTAAATCTGCTATCCTTACAACAGGAAGGTAATGATTAGGCTTTTCAAAAATATGTTTATATTTACGATCCCATTAGTTACATGTGTTTTATGTCCAATTGTTAATCATGTCAATTTGTTTTTGAGTTTTATCCATCAATTGTTATTTGACTGAATAAGCAATCACCTCTACAATTACTCAGTTGGTGCCTTGTATCATTGTTCTGATTATAATAGTTTTGTGTACCCACATTTATATAACGCATCAGTAAAAGACATGGTTTACATGTTCCAGGCATAGTGGAATACCGCACCGCCTTCCTGACTGACCACAGTGGCGGCAGCAGCATCCTCTCTCCCCCTCCTGACGCCGACTTCCAGAGCCAGGGTTTGACTCAGCACCAGACAGTCACACCGGTCCTCGTGGACGGAGACACCGTCAGATTCTGGGTCAGGGCGTACGACATCAGGCGCGAACTCCTTGAGGAGAGCGTGACAGTCCACGTGGACACATCGCCCCCAGTCATAGAGAACCTGTGGCTCACCAGGGGAGACAGACTCAACATCAGTGTGCATAGAGTAGAGGAATTCAATGAAATGACGTAAGTTCTCTTTTTCTCCATGTTAAGTAAGGAAACAGTACCTTCAAAGCAAAACCGTGGCAACGGGTGACTCACTCGTCTCATCCGCCGCAATTTACGGCTCTAGGTTGCGTGCCTTCGGCTTTCGTGAAATTTATGATCATGGGTTCAAATCAAACTTCTCATTAATTATGTTTCTAGGTTTGTCAGTACCATGCCGGTGCTCGTAGGATTCACATCACTCCGTGAATCAGACATGCCGTGGAAATAACTAAAATACTGTTCAAAGGCTCCTTAAACCAAACTCAACCACTCATACACCTTAGTACTATGTCTTGCATTTAAGATTTGAGTGGCTGGCGTTTGACGACCACAGTGGTCTAGAAACTGTGTCGTGGAGACTCTACGACAACATCACCGGCTCAGACATCTACCACGGAGAAGAACATCTATCAGCTCAAGGAGACACGCAAGTACATACCTTCCTTCATTTATTCGTCTTAGGGAGGTCCAATCTTGTTGTAATATTGGGCACGGATACCTAAACAGGGCACGGATACCTAAGTATTTATTCAGTTGTGTTTAATTACCCCAGACACTGGCCAAGTGCACAGCGAGGTACGGCGACTATGCACGGGGTGCCAACTGCTACTGTACGCCAGGGACAGGGTGTTACCACAGACACTTCCAGATCAAACCACGCATAATCTCATCTAATCTCAGTCATGGTGGCCTATTCCACGACATGCACAAGGGCGTTCACGACTCCGACTACTTCATCGAGATTACAGTAATGAACCACGCCAAACTAAACATGTCGCTTGCAATCAAGGTGAGGACAATACGTTTCTGTCTACATAAAGCATGAGTGAACAAAATGTGCAAGCACCTGATTCAACTAGTGCTCGACGGTGTTACGGTATTTATCTGTCTAGATTCTTAATGTAACGATGATACTACTAAACATACATGTAACTAAAGCCACCCTGACACTTGCACGATTTTTGTCCCTGCAATGCCGCGCAAAGCGTCGTGGCAAGGCATGCCATTTCAGTGGTACGCAGCGGAGCGTGAAGCCGCTTTTGCACCCTGTTCGCGCAATCTCTACGCAATGCACGGCCAAAAATGGGCCGCATTAGCACGCATTGACACGCAATGGCACGACTTGTTTACGTCTAGGTTAAGTATTGTTCGCGCATTGTTCACGTCTTCCGTACCGTCACATACGACACGCATAGTTCCCGCTGTTTTCCCGCATCTCCACGCATTGCCCCGACGACTTCGCGCTTTGGTCACGCTTGGCGGCACTCTTCAAATCTCGCTATTGGCGTATGTATATAAACTCAAAATAGAAGAGATTCTTCATTCCTCGACTCGCTGTGGACGATACAACATGCTGAATACCAGAGTTATTGTTATTGCAGAACAGAGAAGGTGTCTATATCTGGCAGCTGCAGGACTATTACTTCTTGAAGAGCAGGAGAAAAGGCAGCAAGAGCAAGAGGAAGAGCATGAGAAAGAAGAAGAGACAACCCTAACTAGAACAAGGAAAGCAAGGACAGTGTGGGTTAGGGAATGGTTGGCGAGAAGACATGAGTTCGCACATTATAATCAGCTATTGACAGGACTCCATAAGGAAGATCCAAGAGGCTAAAGGAATTACCTGAGAATGACACCTGACCTGTTCCAAGAAATGGTGGAGAAATTAACCCCTCACCTTAAGAAAGAGACCACATTCATGAGAGAACCGCTTGAAGTTGGACTCAAGCTGGCTGCCACCCTCCGCTTCCTAGTCACTGGAAATTCCTATCCAAGTCCACAGTACAGCTTCAGAGTTGAAGCAAGTACAATCTGCAAGTTCTCACCAGAGGTGTGCAAAGCCATCATTGAGGTCTTCAAGGACGAAGTGCTCAGCTGCCCCAAAACTCAAGAAGAGTGGATGGGTGTTGCTGAGATGTTCAAGCACGTTGCTATGAGGACGCCACCCAAAGCAGGCTCCCTCTATTATAATTACAAGGGCTTCCACATCATTGTACTCATGGCAGTTGCAGATGCTTGGTATAAGTTCTTGTATGTTGATGTTGGGGCAGAGGGTGGTGCCCCATTGAGCCAGTCCTTCTGTCTCTTGTCATACAACTGTGGGTAGTCGTTTACATATTCTGCTAATTTCATGGTACCCTCATCTGTCCACTTATACTCAGGAATGTCTTACTTGGACACTCTTGGATTCTCTTCTTCTGTTTTACTGTGGGCTCTTCTTCACGTGACAGTTCTATTTAAGTCTCTGTGAAAACTTCAAGTTGTGTCTGTGGAACAACATCCACACTTGAGCAGGAGGAAGGAGGAGAAAGATTCCTCTCCCTATCAGTCTATTTCTTTGTTTCTGGACTGTCCTCTTCCTGTCTATTTTTGCACTGGTCTTCCCCTTCTTCAACGTACTTTCTCCTTGTAAGGCATGTTGTCCGTTTGCTGGCAAGTTGCAGACTTTCTCCTTGTAAGGCATGTTGTCCGTTTGCTGGCAAGTTGACCAGGACCCGCTTACATACGTGCTGACGCGAGCGCCGTCGTCGCTCATTTGTCGGGAACTATGCGCGAACAATGCGTAAACACTTCGTGAGCAGTTTGTGCATTGCGGGAATGGTTCGTGACGTGTGCGACCTGTGCGTGAGCTGGGCGTTCCATGATTACGTGAACAACTCGTGAGAACACCCTAACAACCGCACGATCACTCCGCGACACGCGCCAACAACGTGGACAGTTCGTGACCAATGCGTGGCATGGCGTGTCAGAGCGTGTAGTGGATTCCCATGGCACGCATTGACACGCACCGTCGGCAGTGTTCGCGTCGAGCTCGTACAGTGTTCACGTCGAGCTCGTACAGTGTTCACGCATGGTTCACGCAAGTGGCACGCACATGGCACGAAAATTGATGCGTGCCAAATTGTTGAACATTTTGCAATTCTCTCTACGACATGGCACGCATCCGCGCACCCTTCACACTCTCCTCACGCTCGGTCCCCAAAGACTTTAATCATTGGCATGCCGAAGAGCGAGGCATTGCGGAAACAAAAATCGTGCAAGTGTCAGGGTGTCTTTAAACACATTACACATTCTATGAAGTTAGTGTCTCTCTAGTTGACACATCCTATGATGTTACTGCCTCTCTAGTCGACACAATCCATGATGTTACTGCCCCTCTAGGTGACAAAAGCTGTGATGTTACTTCCCCTCTATGTGACACATTCTATCATGTTACTAGCAGTCTAGGTGACACATTTTATGATGTTACTGCCCCTCCAGGTGACATATTCGGTGATGTACCTGTCCCTCTAGGTGACATATTCTATGATGTTTCTGCCCCTCCAGATGACACATTCTATCATGTTACTACCCCTCCAGATGACACATTTTATCATGTTACTACCCCTCTAGGTGACATATTCTATGATGTTACTGCCCCTCCAGATGACACTTTCTATGATGTTACTACCCCTCCAGATGACACATTCTATCATGTTACTACCCCTCTATGTGACACATTCTATCATGTTACTGCCCCTCTAGGTGACACATTCTATGATGTTACTGCCCCTCTAGATGACACATTGTATGATGTTACTGCCCCTCTAGGTGACACATGCTATCATGTTACTGCCCATCTAGGTAACACATTCTATCATGTTACTGCCCCTCTAGGTGACACATTCTATCATGTTACTGTCCCTCTAGGTGACACATTCTATCATGTTACTGCCCCTCTAGGTAACAGTAGATGCAAGTGCACCGCACCCTGGAGTTGTCCACGATGGTCAGTCTGGATTCTCGGAAGTGGACTACCAGGACAGTCTGCAGCTCCACGCCCACTGGGACGGCTTCTTTGACCGGGAGAGTGGGGTCAAGTTCTACCAGTATCAGTTCTCTGACAAGTGTCTACAAAAGGAGAATTTCGGTTTGGATACGAGTGTTTTGAATGTACGTGTGTGACTTCCTTCGCGTGAGGGTTTATCTGGTTTTCTTCCAGGGTGCATATACCTTACGTGCGTCTCAAATCATTACAATTACAGGTGAAGGAAACCTACTCGACACATGCAGCATGGCCGGCACCTTCCCCAGGGACGTATCACGTGACAGTGGTGGCCTACAACCAGGCCCTCGAGGCATCTGACCCTGTGTGTTCTGACGGAGTGACCATTGATGATTCACCACCAGCAGTGGGACAGATTGCTGTAGCCTCGTCTAGCATTGCCCCGGGTCTGGTCACCACCTCATCAGGCACGGTCTGGTTCATAGACAATCGCCGCAGGAGAAGCAGAATTACTGAACCAGATACCCAATGCAGGTACGAACCAGCAAGATATTTAGATGTGTTAAAGTTATAACAATAAAATTCTTGTTGCCTGTACATTAAGAAAAAGAACTTTCAAGATAATGTTTGACGTCTTTGTTTAGAAGGTTCCTATACGCCTTTGTGCACAAACGTCACGGAACAGCGGATAGACATAATGGAGATCCCTCTGTATTTGTTGCCTGTACATTATGAAATCTTAAAGAACTTTCAAGATAATGTTTGACTTCTTTGTAAGAGCACCTTTTCGCCTAAGTGCACATGTATTAAAGAACAGCGCCAAGACATATCGCTATCCACCTGTTATTATATGATGGGTCCCAACATGTTTTTAGTAAGATCTCACGTTGCACAATCAACTGCCATCTTACAATCAGTATAATGCTCTAACTGTGGGAACAATGTGCTGTCCTTGTCATGTTGGAGGCATAATTAATGTCGTTTATCGGAGTTCCCCTTAATAAAACTAGATGGGGGATTGACGTATGGCTGTGTCTATGGTGTATAAGATAATGGATGGCTGCAGTGATCTCGCCACCGACTGTAATTGATTTATCTTTTAATATTTATATGTCACCAATTTTCAAAACAGAATTACCCTTAAGTTCGTATAGCTGTAGGTCCCACTCCGTGTTCATGGTATACTCTGACGAATCTTTCAGATCCAAAGGGACAGCAATCGACGCGGCAGAGTTAGAGAAGTTCCCCATTCACGTGATGAAAGATGGAACGATGGTGAAACGAAATGCAACATTTTGCATACAAGCCTTGTCAAGCTTCTACCAGATACACATTTCTGCAAACCACAATGTACGAGATATAAAAATACATTCTAAATCCTTCATGATTATGTCCATACCTGGTGTTAAATGCTGAAGTGTTGTAACGAGTCTCATGTGACAAAGGTTTTCAGTTTTTCACCACTTCTACGCCCTTTTCCTTCCCTTGATAGTAGTGGGAATTTTCACCCTTAATAAATCGACAAGTTTTTAAAAATGCCGTTTAAAGATCATCATAACTCGGTAGATTGAGACTCACGTATATCAATATCAGGATTCTGCGAGTGGCTTCTGTCAATGATATATTCCTCTTGCCAGATGTTTGTAAACTGGACCGGAACTGACGCGGAGAGCGGTATCCATGACTACGAGGTGGGGCTGATGTCAGATCCTTCTGGTGAAGCAGCTCCAGACATCCTGCCGTACACGTCCACTCATCATCATCCCCAGTATCAAGGCTACCACCCTTCTCTCAGTGAGGGGCAACAGTTCTACATAGCCATCAAGGCCATCAACAAAGCTGGGCTTACAACCATTCAGGTAAGTTGACACAAATGATATATCAATATGTTTTGTCGTGCATGAGTAAATTATATCAGTATCGAGTCAAACCAGGGACTGACAGCATGACATACTGTCCATGCAATCGTGGTTCCGTGACAATGAATCAGCCAGGTCACAGTTCCTGACTCCCGATCCTTATATTGGCTACTTTGGCAAACAACCTTTTCCGAACCTGAAATCCAACAGGATCTCTCTGGGTTGTCCAAATATATTTATATTCTGAGACTCTAACATATCTGTCCCTATATCTGTTTGAGCATATTTGATGATACATAACCTTTTGAACTACATGACCCATTTCTCGGAACCTCCATGAACAACGCCCCTCATCTCGCGGCCATGTTTACTCCTTGTCTCTTCAGATCCTGGGACTTGTCCTCGTGCACACCTGCCTTTAACGGGGGATTCACTGCTGCCCTGCTGCCCAGTCTGAGTCGTCTCATAATAATATTTTATACTTTAAAGTTTACACTGTTTCTGTTGTGCTATTTGGCTGAATGCGTTGCCACGTAATCTGATATTTGGAGTTCATACGCCTGTGAAATTCACGCGATGTTAACAATCTTTTGTGAGAAATTGATAGTGTGAACTTTTACCGAAACTACTCTCCGGGTTTTCCCCAAACTCTCGATCAGTGTTGACAATTGTTTTCTATTTTATTTTTCATTTTTATTCCCTGCATTTATCGGCATTTAAATCAATCATAGTATTTTTGCCTGATCTTATAACTCTATATCTGACTTCAAAATAAATACATGCTTTGATTCTGGTGTTTGTTGTTGTCTGCTACATGAAGGAAAATGGTTTGTCCTGACTGTAATTTTGATATAGAATAGCTATCTATGAATACTTGTAACTCAAGTGAAGAAAATGAAATCTGCAAAACTACTGAGGTGAACGAAATTGATTGATTTGGCGATTTTGACTTTGATGCCCTGTTTTCGGAAATGACTGAGGATTCTAGCATCAAGGCAACTGTGACTGGCAACAATATTGTAGCCCCCTCAGATGTGTACGCCGACACAGAGATTAAAGCGACCGTAAGTGATTAACCCAATTCACTATTGTTTCGGAATAAAATCTCCAAGATTTATAGTCAGTTGGCCACCAGCGGAAAAGAGGCTTAGTTTAGATTTTCGTTCCCACATTTTCCTGTATACCTTAAACCTTTTCTATTGCATAAAGGAGGTATCTGTACACAATTTCCATTGGGTAGTAAGCTTGCAAGTGTGTGCAGGAATTTTCAGGGGGTCAAAATTGCATAAATTGAAGGAAAAATGCATAATTTGACAAAATTGGGTGTAACATTGTTATTAAGTCATTAAACTATCCAAATTATGTCTTTGATTACAGGTAAAATGTTCGGTTATCTGAATTTGGCAAACATTTTGTTTCATTTAACTGTTATTCTAATTCTCAGTGGAAACATAGGTAAAAATCATGTTTTTTTACTTCATTTTCAAATCTTGTAATCAAAGACATAATTTGGATAGTTTAATGACTTAATAACAATGTTACACCCAATTTTGTCAAATTATGCATTTTTCCTTCAATTTATGCAATTTTGACCCCCTGAAAATTCCTGCACACACTTGCAAGCTTACTACCCAATGGAAATTGTGTACAGATACCTCCTTTATGCAATAGAAAAGGTTTAAGGTATACAGGAAAATGTGGGAACGAAAATCTTGTTTTTCACCCCTGGCCAACTGACTATTAGAGAAACAGAGGCACAGCAAATCAACAATGAAAAACACTAAATGGGCTTTGAAAATGTTCAATGGTAAGTCAAATAAAATTAATTAATCTAGCGTCAAATAGATTAGACATTTAAAAGTGGGAAATAAAACTTCTGAAATTTGCTGAAAAGAACTTGCCTACCTCATCGGAGTCGGGAGAAATATCCATAGACTGGATACTTTTCTGGTTTCGCAATTTCACACGACACAATCCAAAAAACCACACTAGGGGTGGTGGCGGTGTGTGTGTGTGTGTGGGGGGGGGGGGGGGTGTGTCAGGAAACAAGACTACCTACAAACGCATGTATGCTTCTGTTACGTCACAGTGTCCCATCGCATCCATGAAACTTCTCATGTCAAAATTGCCCCCAAATGCAGAAAAAGTGTTTTGCATTCCCAAATCAAGTGCCCTGGTAAATAACTCGTACTCGAGTAAGCCCATGTCGGAACGTCAACTTGGTTTGATCATTTGCACAATTTCCAAGGAAGCAGGTCTCAGTCGGGCCTATACTCCTCACTGCATTCCTGCAACTGGCAAGCTAGCACTAGCCGATGCAAATGTTGAATTGTGTCACATCTTGTACTTGTCAGGGCACAGAAATGAAGCTGGCATCAGATCACACAGTAGATCCATCTCAGGTGTCAAGAAACACCAGCTGAGCAAGGTATTACAGGCGATCACACACGACAAATCCCAAACTCCAAGCAAATCACACGATGTTAACAATATTCTGGTACGTCACAGTGTCCGGTCGCAACCTTGAAACTTCTCATATCAAAATTGCCCCCAAATGCAGTTGTTTTGCATTCCTTAATCAAGTGCCCTGGTAAATAACACTGTTTGGTACTCGAGTAAGCCCATGTTGGAACGTCAACTTGGTTTGATCATTTGCACAATTTCCAAGGAAGCAGGTCTCATACAGTAGATCCATCTCAGGTGACGATAAACAGCAACTGAGCAAGGTATTATAGGCGATCACACAAGACAAATCACAAACTCCCAAAATCCCTAGCAAAACACACCCTGACGTTGGAACAAAACACACACGTTTCAGAGCACTCTGTAGAATCCCCACCAGTCCAATCCACATCGTCCGAATTCGTTTGTGATTATCCAAACACAAGCAACACCTTTACAAATCCGTCATATTCCCAATTTGCTGGTGCCATGGGAGGGTTCGTGCCTCGGGGTATTTTCCATAACTGTTCCATTAACTCATTAAATTCCGTCCTCATGCTCCTGTACGACTTGAAATACACCTCTTCACAAACCTCTATGCTGTAATATATAAGTACGCCCTTGAAGGTTGACCTCGCCTCAGTGCATCGGGTCATGTTTATATTTGTAATCACTTTCATGTTACCTTTTTGAAGATAAGATTAAATCCAAACAGTATTTGTCCATTTGTTCAGAGAATGAAATTATGATGATGTTGACATATTTTCACCTATTGTTGCATATATTCAAAGAAATATTTTTCTTTGCGTAACTGAGTATGAGTGGGGAAAAGTATGTGACCGAGGGCCAGCAAACACTGACAAAGTAGCATTGTAACAATGTTCTTCCATGAAACCAGAGAACTTCAAAGTAAGCAATCATTGTGTTGCAATATCATTCGGCGCGGAGGTTCACACAGTTTAAACAGCACTTTTAATCGTTCACACTTTAATGAACCCATCCAAACTCACGTTCAATTCTTAAGTGACGTCACATATTACGGACCCTGATGCTGCTCAACTCAAGTACGAAGCTGCCGTCGGTAAGAAGTGGCAGTCTTGTCTTCGTTTTAACTAATCCTTCGATGTCTTAAATGCTTCAATTAGTCATTTATCTATTTATTACGTTTCTGACCGAGCAGACCTCTAAGGGTCGTGTTTGCATATTTTATCTTTGTTTGTTGGGTTGCTTGTTTAACGTCACACTCAGCACTATCAAAGTTATATGATGGTGGCCTGCAGCAGTTCGGTGTGTGACAGCCTGTCTCTCGACCACATTGAATTCTATTGTAACAGCTCCACCAAATATGTGTGTGTGTGTGTGTGTGTGTTTGTGAGGGGGTGGGGGGGTGGGGGGGTGGGGGGTTGGGGTGAGGGGGGGGGTGCGTGTGTGTGGGGGGGTGCTGTTACTAGTCCGGATTATAATGCTGATTTTATAGTGCTAGCACGCTAAGATACCATGCTTGGTATATCACGGCGTGTCAGTTTAATGTGTGATGGAAGCCTGAAGTGATGTAGGCCGTTTACCATGTTGATTAAAACCACAAGCACAGGTATGGTGCTGAAAAATCTGGAAACTTAATTGGGGAGAACCTGGATTCGGGCCCACAATCGAAGGTTTCTGATGTTCTCAAGGAACGCACCTCGGAACATTGAATTGCCCCTTACCACATCAGAATAGCATCACTCACTTAAGCAATAAACGACGAGTTTATCATACAATGAAACCTATTCTTACCAGGAACCACAACGCGGGTAGTCATGCATTATTCATGTTGTAAACATTACTGCGCATAACTCAGATGTAACCGTCAGTGTAATCAAAGGTCCCAGTATGCCGCGACCTGGCAAGTTGCCCCTGGTAACGTCACAACTTCCTGGTGAGGGAGTTCGCGATCACGACTGTTCAGTTGAGAGGAAAGAGGAGAGTTGTAAAGGACGTCGATGAAGCTTGTACTCTGTGGTTTTGTCACATGTCTTCTCCAGTTCCACAGTGTTGATGGACTTGTGGAAAATGCGTAAGAAGCAATCAAGTTAAGATAATGTTGAAGTGTAGTAGGTTTTTTAAAAGGATAAAGGAAAATTTAGCTTAATTTTAAGTGATGATTAATATAATTCGCTTTCCGTGTTTAATTGACATGTTTATCTCATCGTGTGACCTCACAAAATCGACATCTATGAAGCAGCCAACTTTTTCAGGTCATAAGATTCGATGAACATTTGTTTGACAGGACTAATATTCTTTGTATTCTGTAACTGAATGAACCATCTGATCATTGAAGCATGTTGACAATACTTCAAGCATAAAGTGTTATTTCACTCGCATAAGATTTCAGTAATAAATTTTGAGATAAGTACAATTGTTTCAACCAAAAATACATACTGCTGAACATTACATGTTTATTTTCTCTCTTATCACCTTGTGGAGGTCATCCACAGAAAATACACCATAATCCAATATGTAGCTCTCGGCCCCCGTTTATTCTTTGTGCGATTGCCAGTAATATATAGGTCTTCACAGATACGGAGGCAATACCTGGGATCACTCCGGGTCAGGCCCATAATATGTAGGACCAATGTCAGATTTAATTATTGATGGCTACAACGTTGCTACAACACTACCAAAACCAAGAATAGTACATGCGAATTGACAAATACAGAAAATAAGCCAGAGAATAACCGTCTCGATAGCTTGACGAAAGGACCAAAAACTGGAACGGGAACTGGAACTCATCCCAGTTTCCTATGGAAGGGGAAGGGGAAGCTTCCTTCATGTCTCAACCCCACAATAGCACAATCACAAGAAAGTATCTGCTTCGTTCTTGTGTTTCACCACCCCGACCATTTGAAGGTAGAGGCATTGAGGGGACCACTTTTCGTGTTAAGCAAAAGATTGTCATGGGGTGCCCATCTTCTCAGCTGTATGTTCCATTGAAAACAATAACAACTATTTGTGCGCTTCGGAGACTGGCCCATCTGCATTCCTCAAACGAGGCTAGTCTTCTTTCAAAGTTCTGGTGGGATACAGGTGTTTGCTTTCTGGGCCTACAATCACAAGAATCCGTACTATCATTCATCATCCTGGGCTCCTCACAAGAATTTTTACATTTATCATTATTCTCCGTCATCTTGATGATTCACAAGTGAAACTGAACCAAACCAACTTACTTACTTACTTTGGAGATTTAACGTGCGCTTTCCGACTGATGCGTATTTCGCACACGGGCCCGGCCAGGCCATTTAATGTGTTTCCGAAAGGGGCTTTAGGGGTTGCTTATATAGAATTTGGGAATTTTGAGATTTGGAAT